GGAGGGGAGGGCAAGGGCAACGTACGTAACCTAAACATCTGTACTCCCATAATACGCTGAAATAAAAAAAAAAAGAAAAAATTTTTTTTTCAGTGATTGGTTTTATACATTTATGGCAATTTTTCTATTTTTCTAATTATGTTTAGGTTATCACATATTAAAATCTTACACATATTAAGACCATGTTATTCTTTATTTTCTATAAGTCATAATTTCTGCTTTTGTACAAATACCTCAGGACTTTAAAATTTTTGCTTTATAATTTTATTGTGTTTTTAATTAGATTACACATTATTAGAATTACCATGCAATTGTACATAAAAATTTTTCTTTAAAGTGTTTTTCCCCATAGGTGTATTTTGTCATCAGATTCAAGATATCTACATAAATACGATTAAAACATCAAATATAAGAATAAAACACTCTTTGCAGTTATAATAATGAAATGAAAATCAAAATGTTTATGCAGTTGTCCTTGGAATTTGGGATTACTTTTACTCTAACTTCTGTGTTTTCTAAGATTTCTTTAAAGAAATAATTTTGTTTTTAATGAGCCATGACCCTCTGTGTGTGTGTGTGTGTGTGTGTGTGTGTGTGTGTGTGTGTGTCTGTCTTTGGGGGTATCTCTAAAACAATTTTTAAAAAATTGCTGGGAACATTATTTTTTGGTACTATTAGTAAGTAGACCTCAAATCTCATTTTTGATTAGATAAATTAGTTCTATCAGTATTACAACCCTTACAACATTCATGTTGTTTGGTGTTATTTCGTGGTTTTTTGTTTTGTTTTAAGTTATTTCGCTCAGTGTTCTGTAGTAACTGTGTTTTTTATACCGTATCTGATATGGTAGCAAAGAAGATTGATACTTCAGAATGAGTTCAAATGTGGTTGTTGTGATAAGCCCCAGTCTTTGCAATATAATTTATTTTAATTTCAGAATGAGTTTAAATGTGGTTATTGTGATAAGACACCCAACCTTTGAAATATAATTTATTTTAATTTCAAAGGTAAAATTTTGTTGAATAGATTCTAAAAGAGCATCTTTTCTCCCCAGATTACTGTTTATCAGTCTTCTAGATAACCCTCTATAAACCACAGTTTTATATTCTGATACTTGCTTTTGTAAAAAGGCTTTAAGTCTGAATTTCTTAATCAGGCAAGGATGTAAGGAAAAATCAAATGTGGAGCTTTTTAGATAGCATAATTTTATGATTGTGTTCCAAGAATGGCCTCAAGAAATAATATATAAGTAAATAACTAAAAATTTAAATGTCAACAGACTGGGAAAATTCTCATAACAGGTACGGTAGGCACACAGTGACTATTATTATATAATTAATACAGAGTAATTTAAGAAAAAGACAAGGAAGCAAAAATTTTGTAGAGATTCTCAAGAGGAAATATTGTTAGTAAACTGTATTCAGCTTTATCACCTAAAAAGTCAGATTAGATCATCAATAAGAACACATTTCTCATAGCAGCATATAAAATATTCAAAACAATGATAATATCCACTGCTGTCTATGGTTAGATTACTTCCGCAGATTACTAAAAAAAACATACAAAGTGGTATAGCCCTTTTGAAAAGTAGTTTGATGATTAGTATTAAGAAACTTAAAAGTGTTACTTTGATCTAATAATTCTTAGAATTTTTCCCAAGGAATTAATTCTAGATATTTAAAATCCTTATATATAGAGCTGTTTAAAGTAGTTATTTATAGTAACAAACATTCCATCTTAAGGAAAAGGTTAAATAAGTTTTGGTTCATTCATTTGTTGAAATATTGGGCAGCTGTCAAAAACTGATATTTATAAGAACTCATAGGGTAGGTAAATATTTATAAAATTAAGTTAATAAAGAAGGCATTGTAAATAACTATAATTAAAATAAAAACAACAAAACAACTCATGGGTAGATTTAAAAAGAATATAATAAACATTTACTTTTTTCTTTTTTTGGGGGGGGGGAGATGGGATCTTGCTGTATTGCCCAGGCTGGTCATGAACTCCTGGGCTCAAGCGATCCTCCCGCCTCGGGCTCCCCAATAGCTGTCATTACAGGCATATGCCACTGTACCTGGCTAGCAGACATTTACTTTTAAGGTCAATCAAGATATTATTTTAGAAACTACTGAGGATTGCTTGTAATTTTTCTGAGACATATATCTGAATGGTGTTCTTTGCAAAGTTGGTGTGTAGGAGGGAGCCACTTTCATTGGTAAGTAACTTTAGCCAGCTGCTCAGACCCTGTACATCAGTTTTTCCTTTCTCCATTCTCACATAAACTTCCAGGGAGAGGATATATGCTATTTTGATGTTACTTGAGAATTCAGCAATTTATAAATTTCTCAGACGTACCCGTGATCCACTTGGCAGCGATTACCTCTATGTTGTAGGATTATATGATTTCTCCCCTTTAAAAATTTCTCTGATTTACAGAAATTCTTTAACAAGTATGGTCTTTTTTTTTTTTAAAGATTATCCAGTTACTAGTTAATAATCTTTGCATTAAACTCTTCTTCCTGAGATAATGTATTCTGCTTTTTCTAGAGTGTCTCATGTGCTTTTATCCCATCCAGACATTGTGCATTTTACCTGTACAATTGGATTTGTACCTTTACTATCCATGTCTTAACATGTTCAGTCTTTTCTTTTTTTGAATATATGGGATACAGTTATAATAACTGTTCTAATGTTCTTGTCCAATAATACTATAATCTGTGCCATTGGCTCATACTTACTTTATATTTAATGGAGAAATGCAAAAATGCAAAAAACACATTTTTAACATGTCTAAGCTATAATATTGCCCACCAAACTTAAGAATTAGAATATTGCAAATATGTTGTATTACCTATCTCTACTAACTTTTCCGAATGTTATTAATGTTTGTATGTGTCGCAAATAATATATTGTTTAGTCTCATATTTTTAAAAACTTAATAAGAATTATTTCTTGCTATGTGTATTCTTCTAAAACTTGTTCTTTTTCCTTAACATTATCTTATTGAGTGATTGATATTGATATGTATAACCCTGTCGTTTGTTTGTTTTTACTCCTCTGTAGTAGTACTTTGAATGAATACAATTTTATTTTTCTGTTCTCCTGTTGATGATTATTTGGGTTTTCAGCTTTATTTTGTTTTTAACAATGCTGCTGTGAACATTCTTATACATGTCTTCCAATATACACCTAGGAATGGAATATTTTGATCATAGGGGGATACTCATATGGAGCATTATTAGATAATCCAAAACTGTTTTCCAAAATGGTTTTTACTAATTTACAATGTACATATATACATGCATATACACATACATATGGATAACACTACAACTGCACTTCCTGGCCAAATACATTCACTTTGTTTTTTTGTTTGTTTGTTTTAAGATTATTATTTATTCTCAGAAGTAGAATCATTGATTTAGAGGGTATGAACATTTTTTCTGTTTGGCTACACACCTTATTTTAATTTTTGTATTATTTTTCATGACTTCCTATTTATTCTTTAGTTGTATTTATTATGAAAGCTATACATGCAAAATATACTCAAATTTGTTCTACAAAGTTTGTCATTAAAAAATGTCAGTCCCCTGTCCTCTTCTCCACCCCATTTACTGTTTCTATCTTATTTGGAATATTTAGCTCCAGAATAAAGTTATTTATTACATAGAAAACATTTTGGAAACTGTATTTTTTAAAATATGGATTTTGAAAGGGAACTGTGTTCAACAGCAAATCTGTTTCTTTGAAGACATTATATGATGTTTTGATACCCTGATATTTATTCAATATTGAAATATTTAAATGTGTGTGTTTTTTAAAACAGATTATCTTTCTCAAGGAATAGATCTTTCTGGAATAGAAGTAATAGAAAATGATCTGCTTTTTATTGCAAGAGCTCGACTTGAAGTGGAAAATCAAGCTAAGCGCCTATTGGAGCAAGGTGTGGAGACTCAGGTAATAAAAATAGTATCACTTTTTTAATGTGAAAAATGTCATAATACAGATGAACATTTGACTTCAAGTTCAAAAAAGTAATATGTATCTTCATTTTATCACTGAGGACATATGTCTACAATTTAAATTAGAGAGTAGGGCATTTATAAGGAAAATTTATTTAATACATATCTAATATGTTTAATTCTAAAATAGACCTAAGATATTTAATGTATAATGTATGTAACATGAAATATATGATGTGCATATGCAAATAAGTTAATACCTGTTGAGCTGCTTGTCCAAGGCACTGTTACTCATTGTAAGCCTTTTAACAACCCACAGAATGGGAGAAAATATTTGCAACCCACCCACCTGACAAGGAATTAATAACCAAGACATACAAATAACTGAAATGACTCAATAGGAAAAAAGCAAATAATCCAGTTAAAATGGGCAAAAGATCTGAATAGACATTTTTCAAAAGAAGACATACAGATGGCCTACAGATTTATGAAAGAAGGCTCATCATCACTAATCATCAGAGAAATGCAAAACAAAACTATGATGAGATACCTCACCCCAGTTAAAATGGCTTTTATTCAAAAGACAGGCAGTAACGAATGCTGGAAAGGATATAGAGAAAGGGAACCTTTCATACGCGGTTGTTGGGAATGTAAATTAGTACAGCCACTATGGAACAGTATGAGGTTCCTTAAGAACTAAAAATAGCACTCCCGTATGATCCAGCAATTCTACTGGGTATATTCAAAAGAAAGGAAACCAGTATTGTTACCAAAAGCTCAGCGCTTGCCCTCAGGCCACATCAGAAGAACGAGGATAAGTGGTTTTAGAAGGCCAGCAGGTGGAGAAGATGGAGACTCCTGTCTAAAATGCCATCCTCTTCACAGTAAACAGAAATACAGAGCTTTTAAAGAGAGAATTATCATTTCTAGACTATTGTTATTCAGCTAGTTGATGATTCTGATCATCCCATCTCCCCTAAGACAATCTGGTGACCAGGACCACCTCCATGCTGTTGGGCTGAGCCATCTCCTGTAGCACAGAGAACAGAGGACACTTCTCTGCCCCTCCGACCACTGGCCTGAGGCAGGGATGCAGGTCCTAGTTCCCCAGAAGGAGTGGGGGATGTTTTAAAGAGACAGAAAATATTTTTGCCGTTTTTTTCAGGCCATTTCCTCTGTTACAGTGTATCAAAGAGATGTCTGCAATCCTGTGTTTATTGCAGCACTACTCACAATAGCGAAGATATGGAATCAATCTAAGTGTCCATCAACAGATGAATGGATAAAGAAAATTTGGTACATATACATAATGGAATATTAGCCACAAAAATGAACGAAATCCTGTCATTTGCAACAACATGGATGGAACTAGAAGACTTGACAACCAAACTGTCTGGAAGAATCGACCACCCTTAACTGTCTCCTTTTCTTTACTTGTCATGTAGTCCCCCAGTCTATACTATTCTGGCATTTAACATGCCTTCAATAAATCTATTTTCAGGGAGGTCTCCAGAGAACTCCCAATTTCCCAAAAGACTTGACCTTATTTGCTTATCTCAAATATTTGACATTGGTGACCATTTTAACTTCTTGACACCTCCTCTTCTCTTAGTTTTTCTAATCCCAGTCTGGGATTAGAAAGTTTTCTCTTGACATTGCTCTTGGGGTTCTTCCCTATTCTTAACAACTTCTGCTTGCTTCCTTAATGACTGTGTTTCCCGTATATGTTTGACCTCTTTTTACTCTAAATGCTTTTTTCCTTGATGATCTCATATATTCCTATTATACATTCCCATTTGCTGATAACTTTCAAGTCTCAGTCTGCATCCCAGATCTCTATTCTAAATTTTGGCTCTGTATATCTGCCTGCCCACAGAATGCTTATATTGGTTAAGGTTTGTTTATAGAGGACAGAATCTACTTTAGCAAGTTTTAGTAGACAGGGATTTATCATAGGATATCATTGAGAGGGCTCAAGAAAAAGACCATAATCTGAGTTTCACAAAACTACTGTATGATGCAGAATTGGGCAACTTGGGCAGGTTTTGCTTCTTCCATGTCAGGAAACTGCCCACTGTTTTTGTTATCCTTCAATGTGGTTGAAAGCTTCAGAGCCATATTTCCTCTGACATGATCTAGATCAGCGAAATGGATGCCCTCTGTTCTGCCTTTTGACTCTTATGAAGCTAGGAACTATATACATCAGAACCTTGCCAGAAAAAGCATACTAAAAGGAATCAAGAATGTGTGTTAAACAAGCTCATTCATAGTATCATCCATATTTTTCCATGTGGACATTGCAGTGACTTTCTAACTCAGAATATTAAAAAACAGTGTTGTCACATGTATCTTCTCCTGTGTCCATGGAAACTTAGGAATCAGCTAACCTAAGGACCAACAAACTTTTTCAAGGAGGCAGATAGTAATTATTAGTTTAGACTTTTTGGGCCATTTAGTTTCAGTCATAACTATAGAACTCTGCTTTTGTAGCAGGAAAGCAGCCATAGACAATATGCAAATTAGCTTGGCTATGTTCCATTAAAACTTTATAAAAATAAGCGATGGGCCAGATTTGTTCCATGGGCATAGTTATTTGACCCCTGGTCTAATCTGAATGTTTCTGTCTTCTCATTTCATACCCTTAGCTTTCTTACCCTGACTATAGTTGTCTCCTGTTAGTTTCTCTAATTTCCACTTAAAAGTCATAGTGTCTCCAGAATGATCTTAATATAAGGGATATCTAATTATGTCCATTTACCACTTAAAATTCTTCAACAACTTTCAATACAAAAGAAAATATTTTTCAAGGATAGTTATTCCTAAGTATAGCGTATTTTAGATATTGTATTGTGTACATTTTAACAGTTGTCAAATTTGACTTCAGTTTTTAACACATTGACTGCCACACTAGTAAAAAAAATTTTTCCTTGGGGCCACGGTGTTTTATTATGAAAATAGAATAAAAACTTTGAAAACATTTTAAACGATCCTTTCTAATTTAATTAAAAATTTGTTACTTTTTTTGTTTGTTTTCTGTGTGTGAGTTATATGCAACTGAAAAATAATTCTCGCTCTCCCACGGTGAAGAGACATGTGAGTTACATATGCTTCACGAGTGCCCGGGTTCAAAACTAGCATGAGTTAAATACAACTCACATGGCAGTTAATGTGTTCATATAAAAAATTAAGAGACTCGCAAACTTTTAGGAAATTAATATTCCTTAAATATTGGTAGTTTTATTTTATGTCCACGTTACCGAAAGCTTGGCCACTTGTCCACGAGGCCAAATCAGAAGAACCAGGACAAGCAGTTTGAGGAGGAAGGAAAGAGAGTTTATTTTACCAACAAAGGAGGAAATATGATAGACCTTCTCATCTCAAAATCCCAAATTTCCTGAACATAGGTGGAAATACAGAGCTTTTAAAGGGAGGGTTCTCAGCTTCAGGTAATTACTGTGATTAACTATCCTAAAACTCCCATCTCTGCCAAAAACAAGCCTGTGAACTCCACCAGCCGCCCACTTGGGGGGCTGGCACCACTTGGGAGTTATATCAAAAGACTTAACCAGACTATATAAAGTTAATCAAAAGATTATTAAAGTAGGTGACTGTTATTCTCTAAGCAATGATGTGTTTTTAATCAATAAGATTAAGTTAAAAAGATAAGAAAAAGTATAAAAGTAATGTGTGTCTACATGAGTAGATGTGGAGTGATCCGCATACATCTTAGAAAAACAGGAGTCAGCTGTATTTTGTTGTATGTCTCAGCATGGTTCACAGGAGGGTATATTCTGCTCAGACCTATGTCTCTCACAGAGTTAGATTTCTGGCTTTTCAGAGTTGAGAGTATTAAACCCTTAATTAATAATGATGTCACTGAGATAATGCTTCTTGGGAACCAGGGTGTCTTAGTGGAAAGATCCTGTGTTTTGGCACTACTGCCTTTTCTTGTTGGAGAGCAACAAGACAGATGTCACCCAGCTGTGTCAGCAGGCAGTTTAGGAATTAAGAGTGAAACTAACCTTTATTGAAGGCGTGTTCTTTGCCACGTTTTGTGTTAGTCACTTTATATTTGTTATCTCAATTGTAATAATCTGTGAGGAAGATATAATTATCCACTTTCTGTATGGTTAGGGAAACAAAGACATGGAAAGGTTAGGAAATTAACTGAAGATTACACAGCTGGCAAGTGGTAGAATCATGGTCTGGGCCTGCTTTCCCCTTTTCTTTAATAAGACCAAGCAGTTTATTCTAATTTTGTTAAATAATTACATTGAAAATTATTTGACAGTTTGTAAAGCAATTTATCTTGAAAAGGGAATTTCTATAGCATAAAATTTTTTTAGGAACTCTCCATATGATGAATAATCTAAACTGGTGTCTCAGTTTTCTTCAGAATTTTTGTTCTCTGGCCAACTTTTTTTTCTCCATCCTTTGAAATTACTATTTTAGACTTTCTCTTCTTTCCTTCAACCTTCCCCCTGTCACTATACCCCCTGTTTTACTCTGAGCAGATGCTCTCAATTTCCACTTCACAGAGAGGCCTCGCACACCACCTGTGCTCTAAATCCTATTTTCTTCTATTTTCTTGGAAGCTTGTCTTGTTGATATTTCCATCTCTCATTTCCATCTTCATCCTCTCCCTTGTGCTCTCTCCTTCTCATCTGCATTTGAACATGCACATTTTATGGCACTCTCCCTGAGTTCTCTGCTTTTCAGTCTCACAAGCTTTCTTTTAGTTTTTCACATCCCATTTTCCTTCCTTTGTGCTCTTTTTATGCCTGGAATATGCTTTCCACTTCCTATTAAAACAGATACTACAGCTTATATGTACTTTATTCTCAAATTATATTCTCCCATTTATCAGAATTCATTGACATAGTTAAATGTATAATTAATATTTATCTAGCAGAGAGTTCCTGTGGCTGAAAAACTAAAAACAAAATTATTATAAGTATAGACTAAAAGAATTACAGTATTTTAATTTTGAAGTAC